CACCATAATTCTCTCTCTCTAAAGTCCCAAGCCTTGATTATCAATTGTTTTAACTGTGTCTTAACTTGTTATAACACCACAATTCTCTCTCTCTAAAGTCCCAAGCCTTGAGATTAAATTAACTGGCTATATGAGAGAACTAGAGGACACCTCTCTACAAAGAACAGTTTTCATCGCCAAAGTTGTCATTTTGTCTGATTATCAGCTCTTCAGGACACATTGGTTCTGTAACTAGGTGTTGTCCTTTACAGAGAGATATTTCTACTGACTACTTGAACCAGTGTTAAGTGTGACAAACTGGGTTTTACCATATCCATTTTTGTCTTTGTCCCTCCCCCCTGAGAGTGGTGTCTTGAGATAGGTTTGATTGTCTTTTGTCTCTCTTCCTCAATGATCAATTATTTCATCACAGGATTACTTTCTACCTCTCTGATAAGGCACAATTTGGATTAGAACTACGGGATAATAAGGCCAAATCCAAATAAATTAATGGTTTGTGATGTTTGGTAATAGTGTTGTTACCATCATCAGAAAATTAGTACTTTTGTCTGATGATGGTAGCAATTTTGTTACCGAAACATCACACACCATTAATTTATTTGGATTTGGTGTTATTACCTTGTAGACCTCTTCTATTTATTTCACTTCTCAGATTGTAGTTTAGTGTGTGAGGGGGATTCTGTTCCTATAGACACATCTTGCTACTTACACAAATGTACAGAAACACTGAGTACAGTCTCTTGTAAGTTGTATACCCCAAATTCTACCTCATCACTCTTATAAGTAGGTGTTGGAATTATAGCCAGTCAATATAGGTAACTTGTGAAACCCTCCCAGCTGATGAGCCAGGCCCTCCCGTTAATTTTTCCATTGCAGTAAAGTCAGTAGAAATTGTTTCATTTCAAAAAGAATCTTACGCGTCTAAAATAGTTTCTAATTTTCATAACAGATGGCGTGCTAGTGTATCATAATATAGGTAACTTGTGGTTGGAAATAAAGGTTGAGTTGTACAGTTGAACCTCCACTATAACTAATATCACACTTGGGAGAACCAGGATTTTAAATAGTATTTTTTTAAATAAAATCTATTATTCAAATTGTGCCTTATCATTATAACCATGGTCAATATGGTTAAAAACCATTGGGACTTAGACTTTAGAATTTATATTATAACCAAATACAGTATAACCTCGTTAATTCGACACACCCCAATTCGACACTCGGCGATAATTCGACCATGTTCCGATGTCCCGACCTCCGGCCTATCAAATAACAACCCGTAATTCGACAGTATCGATAATACGACAGTTCCGATAGTTCGACCATTTTAAAATTCGAATTTAGACAGTTGAATGTTATTTTACACGCAACTTTACCGCTAAACGGTATTACGGCGGCGAGGATCGGCATCGGCGGGCGCCGATAGGATCGTGCCTGCGCACTTTTGGTTTCTGGTTAGTTTAAGTTTCACTTTGCAGTGCCGTTGCGCAATTTCGCGGATGTTATTGTTGTTTTTTTTTACGCTGGAATTTCGGCATCATGCGCTAACTAATAATAATTTTTATTTTTTTTATTTTTAACATTGAAATATATTTTAGCTATTTTTAAATTTATAAATAATTTCTTTTTAAATAAATAAATCTTTATAAAATGATCCAACAATGATTATCATAACATTTTAATTCAATATTCTGTGTTAATTTGAATAAATGAGTGGGGCAAGAATGTCAGGTTCTGCCAAAAAAAATTGGAAATGTAGTCAGTATCACCAGCTCACACTTATGTGGAAAAAATGAAAATTATAGAAGAAATAGAACAAGGAAAATCACATAGTCAAGTTTCCAGAGAGAGAAATATTCCACGGTCCACCATTAGCACAATTTTTAAAAATAAATTCGCCATAAAATCTGCCTTTTTAAAATATAATTTTAGCTCTACCTTGAAATGTGATCGTGACGGGGAATTCCCAGAGATTGAAGAAGCCCTGTTTAGGTGGATAAGGCAGGCAAATGCCATGAAACTTGCCATAAATGGCAATATCTTGAAAAAAAGGCTATACTCTTGGCCTTGAAAATGGGTCAAGATAATTTTGAAGCTAGCAATGGCTGGCTAGAAAAGTTTAAGGCCAGAAGGAATATTGCTTTTAAACGACTTCATGGAGAAGCTGGAAGTGTGGATGCCAATAGTGTAGCCACTTGGAAAGGTGGGATTATTCCTTCAATTTTAGCTAAATACAGCCCACAGGACATTTTCAATGCTGATGAAACAGGGTTATTTTATAAACTTTTGCCTAATCAAACAATGACTATCAGAGGTGAGAAATGTGAAGGGGGTAAGAAGTCTAAAGAGAGAATTACAGTGTTGGTATGCTGTAATATGGATGGAAGTGAAAAACTGCCTTTACTTTATATTGGGAAATATAGAAGACCACGATGCTTCCATGGCATGAATATTCCCTCAAATTATCATTTTAATAAAAAAGCCTGGATGACTGGGGCAATTTTTACGGATTGGCTGAAAAAAATTGGACCAAATATTCAAAAGAAGAGAAAGAAAAAAATTATTAATTTTAGATAATTGCCCAGCCCACCAAATACCTGAAGGGTTACAGAACATTGAAATAAGATTTTTGCCCGCCCTAACTACAAGTGCATTACAACCCTGTGATATGGGTATCATTAAAGCCCTAAAAGACCAATATAGGAAACGAATGATATCTTCTCACTTGCATGGAAGAAAAAAAAAATGCTCAAGTACATTTACTCTTTGCAATTAGCTGGCTAGAGGCTGCATGGGTTGGGGTTAGTTCTTCCACAATAAAAAATTGTTTTTCTCATTCAGGATTTGTGATGGATGAAGCAATGGAAGAAGTTGTTAAAGAAGAAATGAACAGATGTTTTGAGGCATTAAAAAAACATCAAGCCATTGATGTCAACTATATTGACTTCTTGGAAGTTGATAAAGATGTGCAAGTTGCTGGGGAACAGTCCATTGAAGAAATTGTAAAGGAGGTAATGGGAAAAGAAGAAGATGAAGAGGTAGAGCCAACAGAAAAAGATTTAAACAAAACATCAATAACACCTGCAGCAGCAGTGGATGCCTTTAATACAATAAAAGCTCTTTGTTATTTAAAAGACATTTCTGAGGAAGAAAGGCATGCATGTCTTTTAAAAATAGGCTATCTGGAATACATCCTGAATAGGATTTCAGAGAAAAAACAGACATCTATAAAATATTTTTTTTTTTAATCTTGATTCTTTTCAAATAATATTTTTAAATTTTCTTTTTATTTTCCATATTTATTTTCTTTAAACTATTATTCACACACACAATTGGAATAAAATATTATTTGTTTCGAAAATATGTATTATTGCCATTTTGTCCCAGATACTAAAAGTTAATCATGAAAATAAAAAAATAAATATAAAAAGTACACACACAATGGTTTCAATTAATATCATTAATTTATATTACAAAGCTATTTATAAAAAAATATATATTATTTTAGCTAGTTAGATGATTAGCTAATCATCTAACCTTAATTCAACACTTCCTTTAATTCAACCGAAAGCTCTGATCCCTTGGGGTGTTGAATTAAAGAGGTTCGACTGTACAAGGTAATAAGACCAAATCCAAATAAATAAATAGTGTGTGATGTTTTGGTAACAATGCTGTTACCGAAACATCACACACTATTTATTTATTTGGAATTGGTCTTATTACCTTGTGTTTCTAATCTATAATCCAAATTGTGCCTTATCATTATAACCATGATGTTGTGTTAAAAATATGGTTAAAACCATTGGGACTTATGATATTATAACCAAATACAAGGTAATAGGACCAAATCTAAATACATAGTGTGTGACGTTTTGGTTACAATGCTGTTACTGAAATGTTACATCCTATTTATGTATTTACTAGCCGAATGACTCGGGCAACGCCCGTGTTTTACCCGATTGAATGGTTTGATTCAAACACTATTTGTTACAATTATAATTTGGCGCCTTAAATAAATGCATATGTTAGTTAATAACTATAGCCTATGTGCTTTATCTGTCTATGTACTGTTGGCTTCCGTAGGCGTCTCTTACTGGGAAAAAGAAAGAGAGGATTCCATTTGGTTATTAACTAATATATGCATTTATTTAAGGAGCGACCCGCTCCAACACAATAGTTACAAATATGGGGGGGGGCAAAGGTGGCGTGATCGTAGCCGACCAATAGGAGGGCGCCATTCCAAAAAAAAAAGCAAACAGTGACAGAGGCGACGAAGAATGACGCTCGTAACTGTATGTATTTTATATTTGTGTTTCTAATCTATAATCCAAATTGTACCTTATGATAGAAGATGAAATACAAGTTGAGGAGAAGAACTTTATATAATATGATGGTTGTACAAGATTTCAGGCAGGGCACCCTTCAACAGGTACCTTTCTCCCTGACTGTTCTTTTTCTTCTATAGTTAATAGGGGGTTTGTCTTGTACCTTATGATGTTCTAACCAAATCATTGTAGAACGACAATTATCCCACAAATGTTTCTTTTGAACGAAAAATTGAAATTTATTTTAAGGAGAAATAACGATTATTTCTAACCTTAGGGATGAAGTATGAAAGGATGAATTGTGAAGAGTAATGATAAACAGAAAAAAAGTCTCATCACAATTACAATTATTTTATTTCCAAAGCGCTATATCCCGCAAGGGATACTTACGCCAAACAAGGAGAAAAGTTTATTTACATAAGTTATTTACATTATTCAACGCATGAAAACATTAGAGATCCAGATTTTTGTAGAAAGTTTAGAATGTATTCACAAAATGAATTGAACTTTAAAATAAGATTTTTTTTTTCGGAAATCAAATTACTCTTCACTTTACTCATTACTCTTCACAATTCATCCTTTCATAATTCATCCCAAAGGTTAACCATTATTATGGTTATTTCTCCTTGAATTAAATTTAAATTTTTCATTCAAAAGAAACATTTGCAGGATAAACGCCCAACGCTTGAACCCACGACCCTGAGATTAAGAGTCTCATGCTCTACCGACTGAGCTAGCTGGGCACAGATTCAGTACTTTTGTCTGAAGATGGTAACAACGCTGTTATTAAAACACCACACACTATTTGCGGGATAATTGTGAAATGTCGTTCTACAATCATAAGCGTCATTATATTATATTACAAACCATTGTTATAAAGGAGGCTGCTATGGTTTATTCAGTTAGAGAGGGTAGTCTTTCTTTCCTCAAATTGTTTTCAACCGGTACCTGTCATACTTGGTGTTGACTAACGTGTCAGATAAGAAAGGCTAAGCTCCGGTATTATCCTTTTCCGGATAAGAAAATCCCAAGTCACCCCCTTACATACAGCCAGATAGCTTGTGTCGACCTATGAGAAAGCATCTTTTATTTTATTTTTTAAATCTATGGTGTTGTTTCTGAGTGCGACTGTTGTTGCCTCTTTTTGTTTAAAATCTATCAGATTTATTTGGAAAAAGATACATAGCTACATCAATACCAATTATTTATTCAATTCCTGATGTTTCAGTGATTCACTTTCCTCACAGGGGAATAATGGGGAGTGACAGGAATTAAATAAATAATTGATGTTGATGTATCATTTTCCAGACTTCCAACAAATGATCTTCAATTATCTCCCTATTGGCTATAGAACAAGTCAGGGGAGAAGTACTTCTTTATATATTGTACAAGCTTTCGGGTAAGATGTCTTTCTACGGGTATATAAACCATATTGTTAAGTAGCTCTGCAACTCCAGTCACAAGAATGGGACTCCATGGGACACCTGGGGGGGGGGGGGGGGAAACCACAGGTGTGAGGGGTTCTCAGAATCTTATCGGCAAATAAGGAAAACAGGATGTCTAGGTGACTGACCATTCTCATTATTATTATTCTTACCTTGGGATAAGTTGTTCTCCATATAAATACCTCTAAAAGGTAAATACCCACCTTTATAATAAATTAATTATTCCCAAATTTGCTTTATTTATCTCTGCGACAATAAACCACTCGTGTCATTCTGTACCCGTAGATGGGTGTCTTGCTTGTACCATTGTCCTCTTATATAAAGAACTTGACTTGTGTTTCTTCTTCTGTATGATCTTCACAACTATCAGGTTTGGTGAGAGAGAATAGGAGGTGTGGCCTTCCACTGACCAATAGGATGCTTAGAAATTGGAGGTGTGACCCTGCACTGACCAATAGGATGCTTTTAAACTGGAGGTGTGACCCTGCACTGACCAATAGGATGCCTTTAAACTGGAGGTGTGAATATAGGCTAAAGAATTGACCAGCATTCAAAGGCATGACCTTTTTTTTTATAATTGCGAATTTAAATTATATTTTTATTGGTTATTAGTTTTAATAACAAAAAAAAAATATCTTGATTTATTAAGCAAGAGTAAACACTCATGGACAAAACTTAAGGAAGTTGTACCTTTTAACATGTATATTGGGATTCAGACAATAACTCTGAAAGATATTACAGTGACCTTTATTGAAGACACAAGATAACCAAGTGTGAAAAATATTGCCTCTGTTACCTTTAAAAAAAAAAAATAGATGACTGACGACATCAAAGACGTTCCACTTAAGTTTTGTCCATGAGTGTATATGGCCAATATTTTGGAATAATTAAAAATCAATAATTAGTAGATATTTATTCTGATGGATGGTGTAAGCCATCAGTTACTTTGTTTTATGATAAGGGAATGCTTTTTTTCCACCTGATACCAGTATAATTTCTCTTGTTCTATTTTTCTTCCGTATAGTTTTACATTCTCATAAAGAAGGTAGGGATGGCCAATATAAAAGAGGGTAACAAGTAAGTAAGCAATATATAAATTATTGAGTGGCTACACTATGTGTTTGATACAGTAGAATAAACTCAACACCAAGTTGTAGAGAGACACAATGTCCATTAGGGAGATGTGTTCACTTACAGGAGAGCTGCTAATTAGTAAACATGGTAATTTTGGTGATGAAAACTGTCCTTTGTTTAGAGAGGTATGTCTCTAGAGGGAGTGTCCTTTCATGGAGCTTGTTCTACTGTCTTCCATCATGACTGGGTGAAGTAGAATGCATCTGCCTTTGTCATTAAGACTGGGAGCACTACTCAGTGGCAGGCCACAGACTTGGCTCCAATATGAAATGGCCACCTCTGACATGAGGAACAGACGCCATGTGCAGCCACTTCTAACATGGAGTACAAATGCTGCTCATCCTGTATCCCTGGATTAGGAGCACTTACAGGGTATTATCAGCCGGGCCAGCTGAGTCCAGGTTTTTTAGCTAGCTTGTTACTGCTCCCCCTCCTACTTTTTCATCCAGGCTTGGGGCTGGCAAATTCTACTGTAATTGAAACAAGTGACCTACAAGTAACAGTGTGTGTGGTACAGTTCTGGATGCTCAGTCCAAACCTCCTTCTGGGATCCTGGATGGAAACTTCAACTGGGTCGGCAGCGTAGAGGAATGTGAGAGGGCCCGTTCCCCCGGTGCCCCGGTACTTGGTCACCCTGGCTTCTCTGGCAAATATTGCACCGCCCACTTCCAATATGGAGGCTTCTCCAAGGTACAAAAGCAGCTCATTCTCTGAGTTCATCATCCTTATTTTTATAGCCAATATTATGGATATTACGGACAAATTGTAGAAAAAAGTATTTCTGATCGTCAAAGATAATCGGCTGTTGGGCAAAGCGTATATTGTAGTAAAAATTGCAAACTTTCAAGCTTGTGATATTCTTCTAAAGGCTCTGTAGAGGTATTACAGTCTTTAGAGTGTGTGGAGCCTGTACATTCATCCTGTGGATGTTGCAATTTTTCTCAAACAATGAAAGATATGCTTTGCTCATCAGCTGATTTTCTTTATTTTGACAAATATACTGGATTATTCCACGTTTAAAATCCCTGATTGTTCAACTGTACATTGCTGTGATGGCTTATGCTATTGGAATAAAACTCCAATCCTCACCAGCGAGTACAAGTAACTAAATAAGGCTCTAACACACTTGTAAGTGAAAACTGCTTTCTTCATTAGTAGACATGTGGCACACTTACAGTAAAGCAGTCTCCAACTACTACCCATCATGATTATCCTGGCCTGTACCACGTGCACTAGGGATAATTAAAAAAATAATAATAATTAGGATACTAGATAAGAATCACAACTTGATACAGGAACAAGTGGTACAGCCCTGATTATGTTTATGAGATGGGCCAGGGGCACCAAAAATGTAAATGGTTGGCTTTGGTTTACTAAGAAAAGGTTTTGGGGCCAATTGTATTAGATAGAAAGTAAAACCAACATTTATTTGTGTTATATATTCACATTTTCATAAAGAAAGTAGATACATAATAATTTGATATTTACTCCAATAGATGGTGCAAGCCATCAGCAATATTCAGTTATACATTCAAAGATAAAAACAGTCTAACTTCTTTATTTCAGCATTCCAAGGGATCAGAATTTTCTGGTTGAATTAAATTATAGGGGTTATACTGTATAACTTAAGGACGTGGGAAGTCTGATGTCGCCGGTTCTTCTTTTTTTTTTGAAGGAGACGGAGGTGTTCCCATATGGTTATCTCGTGTGTCTTCAATAAAGGTCACTGTAATATCTTACAGAGTTATTGTCTGAATCCCGATATACATGTTAAAAGGTACAACTTCCTTTAGCTTTGTCCATGAGTGTATTTGGTTATCTCGTGTGTCTTCAATAAAGGTCGCTGTAATATCTTTCAGAGTTATTGTCTGAATCCAGATATACATGCTAAAAGGTACAACTTCCTTAAGTTTTGTCCATGAGTGTATTTGGTTATCTCGTGTGTCTTCAATAAAGGTTACTGTAATATCTTTCAGAGTTATTGTCAATCCCCATATACATGTTAAAAGGTACAACTTCTTTAAGTTTTGTCCATGAGTGTATTTGGTTATCTCGTGTGTCTTCAATAAAGGTCACTGTAATATCTTTCAGAGTTATTGTCTGAATCCCGATATACATGTTAAAAGGTACAACTTCCTTAAGTTTTGTCCATGAGTGTATTTGGTTATCTCGTGTGTCTTCAATAAAGGTCACTGTAATATCTTTCAGAGTTATTGTCTGAATCCCGATATACATGCTAAAAGGTACAACTTTCTTAAGTTTTATCCATGAGTGTATTTGGTTATCTCGTGTGTCTTCAATAAAGGTCACTGTAATATCTTTCAGAGTTATTGTCTGAATCCCGATATACATGTTAAAAGGTACAACTTCCTTAAGTTTTGTCCATGAGTGTATTTGGTTATCTCGTGTGTCTTCAATAAAGGTCACTGTAATATCTTTCAGAGTTATTGTCTGAATCCCGATATACATGGTAAAAGGTACAACTTCCTTTAGTTCTATCCATGAGTGTATTTTTTAACTTTGCCATTTGGATCTCATACACTCTTCCATTTATGCCATTCTCCCACTCTTTTAATCATAGAGAAAGAGTTAAAATTGGTCCATCGCCATCAAATAAAACTATGGAAATGATGTAGCAACTTTGTCACGAGCATCTGAATCAATATTGATATGACCATAATTACATATCTAGCAGTACTCTGCAACTTTTACATATCTACGGTACACTCAAAGTACTCAGCAGTAACTGACTTGACTAATATACTTAAGTAAGAAGAATTAAGTTATAAAAATGATACATATAGATACAGTGAAACCTTTCTATAGCAAACCCTAATGAAGCTGTAGCCATTTATTTGCTAGAGCCTTGGTTCAGTGGTACAATGGAATTGGGAATATGCTCACATTATAAGGAAAGGTTTTCTATATCCCCACTTCATTTTAGTGAGGTTTTTCTGCATTATTCTCTCATTTTTATTAAAGTACAGTATAACCCCTACACCAACTATAAATCGACACATACTATAATTCAATCAATTTTTGAATCACATCAGCCTATTTTCTTTAACACCCCCTTAAGTGTGAACATCAAAATACCCAAGAAAAATGTTCACCGACACTGAATGTTGCAATGGCTTGATAATCATCTAAACCGACTAATTCAA